CTGGAGGCGATGAGGGGGGAGGCCGATTGCAGCGGGTCGTGAGTAATCCCTGTCCCCCCAGAGGGGCAAGGAGCCCAGGGGGACGGCATCACCTCCCCCCCAAATCCTGCTCCTGGGGCCGAAGCCCAGGGAAGGGCAAGGTGGGCGTGCTCCTGACATCCCTGGGATGCTCCCTGCCTGGGGGTACAGGCAGGACACTCGGGGAAAGGACAAGGGAGCCCCGGGGGACCTGCCCACAGCCTGGCATGGCCCCATCCCCAAGGGGCTGTCTTCTGCCACCACCCTCATCTTCCTCCCAGCAATGACCCTCAGCTGGCCTCAGGGAGCCCACAGCCTTCCTACCGCTCACAGGGCCCAGTTTAGTAACAGCGCTATCGCTTAAATTAAAAAATTAAAATATATATACATATATATATACTGTATACACAGACAACAACAGAACAGTGCCAAAATGGGAGGAAGAGACAGAGAGAGTTGAGGAGGGCAGAGTCGGACATTTTCTTTACAATAAAAACAAGGGCTCCACCTCAATGCGAGCGGAGTCTGGGGTCCCCTAAAAATACCCATCTAGAGAGAGAGCTGGAGGGACAGAGCAGGAGAGAGAAGGGGCATGGGCTTGTACAATGGCATCTTCCCGATCCAAGCCGCGGTCCACGGGATCTCAGCTTCTCCTAGACTTCGAGTGCTGGATAAGCCACTGTAGGGTGATGTCTGCAAAGGCAAGGAGACACTTAGAGCCTCTCCCTCTGGCCGTCACCCCCTCCTGTACTTGGGCAAACAGCCTAGGCACGCTACCCCCATGGGCACGGGCTGCCCCTCCTCCGCCGCGCCCTGAGCCCCACACCGGAGCCGCTGGTACTCACCAATGTTGTCCTTTTCTTTGCAGGAGATGGAGTAGCAACAAATCTCTCGGTCCTGGATGGCAGAGAGGTTCCTGCAGGAGAGGAGCGAGCTCTGGCTGCAGACCCCGAGGCTGCGCATCGGCGACGACGGGAGACACCTCCAGGCAGCCCTTTGAAGGGTCCCTTTGGACCCCAGCTCCAAGACGGGGGACACTTTGCAGGGGCAACATCTCCCCAGGCTCCCTGGGACTTGCATGTGTGTTGGGCGAGGACACCAGCGCACCGTGCCCATGACTGATGGCCAGGTGCGGTCTGCGGGGGCTACGTGACAGGGCAGGAGGGACCTGACCTCAAGGAGAACCTGGCCACAAAGTCACACAGCTTCCCTCCCTAACCCTCGGTTGCACAGCCATGAGGCGAGGCGGGGCAGGGAGGGTTTTGGAGCGGCACAGGGCTGGCAGCATGGGAGCTGCGTAGGTGCCTGCCCCTCCCTGGGACTTGCATGTGTGGCGAGGACACCAGCGCACCGTGCCCATGACTGATGGCCAGGTGCGGTCTGCGGGGGCTACGTGACAGGGCAGGAGGGACCTGACCTCAAGGAGAACCTGGCCACAAAGTCACTCGGTTCCCCAGCCATGAGGCGAGGCGGGGCAGGGAGGGTTTGGGAGCGGCACAGGGCTGGCAGCATGGGAGCTGCGTAGGTGCCTGCGGGACAGGGGTGATCTCCGAAGGGTGGCTGGGGTGGTGCAGAGATGCTGCAAGTCAGCGCAGCGTCCCAGTCCCCTAGCTGCAGTGGAGGGGTGGAGGTGGGCAGGAGGCAGCACTGGCTGCAACGAGGCCACACGCCAGCATGGCAAAGGGTGGTGAAATAAGGGAGAGGTACGTGGATGATGTCACACGCCGGAGCAGGATCCAACCTCCAAGCACTGAGGGCTGCCCGCTGCCGGGGGCACAGCGCCCGCACCAGGCAGCGGGGCAGAGCCGCGAGAGGGTGATGGGAGCAGCACCCACGTGGAAGCCCAGCTCCGCCGCCGAGCGCTGTGCGGTGCCGTGCCGGGCCCCAACGCCACCGTGTGGCATGCAGGCCCAGCCCTGGCACCGGCGGCCGTGGCTCCTCCCCATCCCCACAAGCACAGAGACGTCACCTCCGCCAGCCGTCACCTCCGCCGGCCGCTGCCTCAGGACATCCCCAGCCACCCCTCTCTGCCAGCCCACCCCAGGCACCGCGATGCCACCCCTGCTGGGGAAGGAGTACTGGCAGAGCACGGCGGGGTGGGGGAGCCGGTGGGGACACAGCAGGAACAGAAGGGTCACACTGTGTCACAGCCCCACCACAGCTGCCCGGGCCACCAGCACACTTACATCTTCTCAATGAGCTCCTTCTCATCCAAGGCACCGGGCAGGTCTCGCTTGTTCCCCAGGACTAGGACCTGCAGGACGGGAGAGGGGACACCTGAAGCTCCTGGCCACCAGACCAGGCGGGAACCTGCTTCTGCCACCCAGAAGTGGACCCTGCTTGAGATGCAAGACAGCCCTGGCCCCTTCACCAGGGTGTGCCCAGATGAAGAAAACCCCTTCAGTGGGCAATCAGAAGGCAGAGCACTTCAATTAACAGCCTTAATTAGCTCGTCCACAGCATCTCCTGTGTACTCTTAGTCCCAGTGAGAAGCTGGCCCCACAGCACATCCTCCCTGAAGGGCACCAGCATCTCTCATGCCATCTAGGACGTTCTCCCAGGAGCCTCCTGCTGTCTTTGAGCAAAACATCAAGTGAAATGGCAAAAACCAACATTATCAGGAAGGAGCGAGGCGCGGATGCTGTGCAGAACCTGCTCTCCGCAGGCAGCCAGACCAAAAAAGCAATGGCTGTTTGCACCATCTACTGATCTCTCCTTACTTCAAGGCTTTTCACATCCACAAAGGCATCCTCAGACTACGCAAGGAAAATAATCACCCGGCAGGACTCGTTCATCCCTCTGGAGCGCGCCACACGACTGTCATCTGACAAGGACAGCACTGAGGCGGCAGCCGCCTTCCCGGGGTGAGCTGGGGCCTCTGCAGCAACATGGTAATGCAGCATCCCCCAATTTAAATTTGGAGACTTGTTCTCAAAAAAGAGCACTCAGAAGGGCTGCAAATGCAGTGCATTATGTCAGGAGCTTAATTTAGTTGGCAGCGAACGTTTGGGATCTGAGCAAGATCCTCGATTAGCACCTTTCAAAGGATGCCGATTTTGGATGCTCTGTAAGCATCCCACCCCGGCACGCGCAGTGTGCCCTGCACTGCCGCCACAGCCCACCTCCTGCAAATGTCACAGCCCAGCAGCCACTCTCCTAAGAGTGGAGACCTTAATGTCCCACCCTAAATAAGGTGCAAATTCATGCAGGAGGACAGATTTCATATCGGGGGGGGCGGGGGTGGTCTCTTCTAAAGCTCTCTTCCCTGCTGGTTGGTCTGGCCCTGGGCTAGAAAGCGTCACTTCCCCAGCTCTCGCAGGAGTGCAGCGGGGAAGGGGAGCCCCCCAAGGAAGGGGATCCACCCCCCGAATATGGTCTGCAAAATGCAAACCCCTCACTGCAAACCCTGGCAGCCACTGGCCTGGGGACCGTGAGCAGCTGGGGGGAACCTATCCAGGCAACAGCTCACCGGGATGCCCTGGAGCTGCGGCTTGTCGAGCAGGTTGTGCAGTTCATTCTTGGAGGCCTCTATCTTCTCCTGGTCGGCAGCGTCCACCATATACCTGCAAGGGAAGGAACACCCCTGAGCGCAGGCACCGAGGTCCCCGCGCCCCAGTGGTGTGCTGAGGTTTGTGCCACCACCAAACCTTGCTCACACGGCAGCCGCATCGCCCCCACTGGCTCCCAGGCCAGCGCGTGGAGGTGATGGATAACGGGATCCTTCCCCCAGGACCCCTCTTCCCAAGGAAGGCTGTGGGGCTGAGAGCCTCTCGTGTCTCCCAGGGGAGTAGGGGACCTCCTTGTCCCCGTCCCCACAGGGGCCCACCCCACTGACAGCAGGGACACGGCGAGCGAGGGGAGTCCAGGCACTGCCCGGGCAGAAGAAGCTGCAAAACACACATTGTCCCCAAGCACCCAAGCGAAGTTCATCTGCGCATGGCAGCTCCTTATGGAGACACCCAGAATAGAGGACAACAAGTGGAGAAGAGAAGAGGAGCCGATGATGGAAAAGAGAAGACGTTGACTCGAGATCCTGGCAGGGGGAAGGACCTGCTCGTCTTCTCTACAGGAGCAATCTTGGGCATGCGGCACAGAGCAAAGGGCATGCAAAGCCAGCAGTCAGCAATGCTTGCTCTGAGCAGACGGGGGAGATTTAGGGAAGGGTTTAGCTCTTACAAGCGGACACCCATCCTGCAGAGGACGTAAGTGAAGCCAAAACTGGGGAGAGGAACTGATCAAAGCAGCCCTTGTTTTAAAGATCAAGAAGCTGGGAGAGAAGTGAGAAACACCATCAAGCTTCATCAGGCCTTGTGGGGTTTATTAAAAATAGGAAAAGAGCCTTTAGCTACTGAAGCGCTGAACACAGGAAAATGTGTATGGCTGTACCAAGAGGGAGAGGGAAAAACACCACCCAGGCACTGCCGCAAGCTTTCGGCATGCCGGATGGGGCGGGAGGGCTGAAGGCAAGAGAAAAGGGACATGACACAGCTCGAGGCGAGGAAGGAAGACTAAAGCGTGACCTGGATGGCCACAGGTCCTTTCGTTTCCTCTCAACCAGACGGGCCGCTTTGGAAAAAATACAAAATTATGGAAGGAAGCAGTAAAAGGAATGAAAAAAAAATGGGATTTTGTCATTTCCAGCAAAGCTCACTGTAATAAAAAGTGTCAAGGACATGTCCCGACATGGTGACAATCAGCAAGGGCAGGACCAGACACTGCTGTCCCCACAAGCAGGACAAGCGGTCCCTCACTCCTCCTCACCTGCCAGACCTACAGTTGGGAAGGGCAGTACAGAAACCGAGCGCTCCAAAATCTCAGGGCATTGCAACACCTATGTGGTCTTCTAGGGTAAATTCTTGTCCTTAGGAGCAGGCAGCCTGCTTCCCATGAGCATCTTGCCAGGCTCATCCCCAGCCTGGACTCCCTGGGACTGTGCTTACTGCAACATTTGCAAGCAGGGGACACATGGGGACACTCATCGAGACTTGCTGACAGTCAGCAGCAGGCGTTGCGGGGAGACTCCTTCTCTCACCACAAGATTCATCCAGCAGCACATGAACACCACAGCCTGGAAACATGCTGCTGGCAACCGCCCTTAAAACCAGCCTCTTGGAAAGGGCTGAGCCACACCGATGGCCTTTGCTCAGCCCCTGCGACGAACAGGCAGCACAGGGGAAGCACGGGAGCCAGGAAGGGCAAGATCCGAGGAACAGAGCCAGGCCAAGTGATGCTGGAAGAGAAGGGTCTGCCACGGCTGGCGGGGACCTGGCTGCCCTGTGCTCAAAGCCCACGGGGGCACCAGTCCCAGGGGGAAGCACCTCAACTCCCAACACGGGCATCCGGCTCCAGCAGCGAAGCCACCACAGCTCCCCCAGCTCAGCCCTGCCCAGCACCCTTGGGTGGGGTGATGGGACCATGCCCCCACCTGCTGGCGGGGCTCAGCATTGGCGCGTGGGTGAAGGGGCTCTTGGCTCCCAGGGATACTCACACAATGGCACTCACTCCACGGCAGTACCGCTCCCACATGCTGCGAAACCGCGGCTGGCCACCAATGTCCCAGAGCTGTGACAGGGAGAAGGCAGCGTTATCCCACCATCCTGCCCGTTATCCCACCATCCTGCCCATGACCCTTCCCCACACGGCCACCCGGCCAGAGTACCCGGCACGCACCAAACCCACCCCCATCCCCTCCTCTTCATCTCAAACCCAACAAGGAGGCTCCCGACTCGATAAAGAAAGGAGACATCTCAGGAAGGGCAGCTGAAGGGTGTTGAACACCTCCTGCGATGCACCTCTGCTGGCACAGAGGGACCCCCTGGCCCAAGCTAGGGGGCTCCTCCCCATGCCCACCGCCCCTCCTGGCCTTTCACTGATGCATTTGCCATTTCAAAACACTCAGCACGCTCTTGGAAATGTTTCTGCAGCAGGCAGAGATGCCCAATCAGCTTTTCAAGCCCGTCCCACCGTCATTTCCCAGTCTAACCCAGGGCCCTGGAAAGATCCAGAAGGGGTAGAAACCTCCTCTCCCTTTACTCTTGAGGCAGAGATTGCCACTGCAAGCCATGACCTTTTATCCCAGCGCTCCCACCCTCAGCAAGGTGACCACATCCACGAGTCCCTGCCAGCAAGCCAGAGGTATAAGAAAACCTCCAGCTTTGCAGCCCGGACTGGCTCTTAACGCAGAGGTCTGGATCTCCTACATCCCTTCCCCCCATCTCCTCTGGTGGGTACCTGCAGAAACCTAACATGGCAGGTCTTCCCAACTGCAGCTGGGGCTGCTGGCATCTTTCAACCTCCAGTAGAAGTCCCATCAGTCTCCCTTCACCCCACCTTTCATCCCAAGAGCCCACACCAGTGATAACATCTGCACCTTACTTTTATGGTAACGTTCCCCTTGGTGATCTTTCTCATGTTAAAGCCCACCGTCGGGATCATGTCTTCGTTGAACTGTCCTGACTGCAAGGAACAAGGTGAAACAGCATTAGGAGGCATGGAACCCCCGCCAGCCTGCCCCAAGCAGGGCAGTGAGACTGACAGCCTGCCTAGAAATAACCCCAAACGCTCTGCCAGCCCTGCGGTGGGTACAGCACAACCCTCCTCCTCGTCCACACCAGGAGCAAAATTAGAGCCAAGGAGATAAAATGCCTGCAGGAGGGAAATAATGCTGCTGCTGCTGCTGCTGCTGCTGCTGCTGCTGCTGCATGGCACCCTGGGTGCCCTGGTGAAGCCCCCAGCCCTGCAGCGAGCTGCCGCCCCCAGCCCCAGACACACTGCCATCTTGGTGGGGTGGCAGAGGCTCACCCAAACCAGCCCTTTCCGGGTGGGATTCCCAAGCCCTTGATGGGAGGAGGCAGAGAGACCTTCGCCCACTGCACTGACCCCAGATCAGCCGTGCCGGGCCCAAACCTCTCCCACAAGACCCGTTGGCAGCCCCACAAGGACCCATGGTGCAGGCAGGCGGCCGGGCTTCCCGCCCAGGGGAGCCACCTCCTGCATCAGCTCCTTTTCGGCCGCGAGTCCTGGGGGCTCCAGCACGTTTCCTGCTTTGGATCGTTCATGGCCCAGCCCAAACCAAACTGACTTCTGCTTTCCTGCAGGTCTGCCGCCTGCCTGCAGCCTGCCTGCACGGGTCCTCCAGCCCCTGCACCCTGCCCATGCACGAGAGCCAGGTGCTCATGCTGGGTGACGTGGGGGGATGCAAAGTGTCCCCCCTCCCCAGGAGCTGCCACCACATGTCCTCCAGCAGCACAGCTCCGAGCCGTCAGGCAGGAGAAGCATGAAATCACCGCAGATTTGCAGCATCCCAGTGCCGCTGCAAAACTAGGTTAGTCTTGTCAGAGCAGTGAGCAGGAACAGTCCCTCTGTCGCCGCGGGGAGATGCCGGCTTGCCAGCCCACGTGGCCGGCACCGCACCAGAGGGACAGGACAGAGCTGGTCTCTTAAAGCCCACCCCACCTTCCAGTTTGCTGCTGAAATCCCAACGCCACAAGATGATCCTGGGCTAAGCAGCGCAGAGGGATGCTCCGGGCGGCCCCAGCAGCATCCCTGGGGCAGGAGGCAGGAGGTGCCACAGCCCTTCACCCTCTGCCTCTTGCAGCCTCCCACCCAGCAGGCAGCCTCACTGGGACTCAAAACAGGTTTAACTTCTTTGATTTTTAAATGCATCCTTGTGGAAGGCCCTGCTGCGGGATGCCAGGGAAGCTGACAGGGAAGAGGGTTTGATAACCAGGATAACATGGCGCTGGGGCTTTTGGCCATCAGTACCAGAAACCTGCAGGAACCACCAACCATGGCCGAACTCATCCCAGCAGCTCTTTACTGGCTTAAAATCTCGGTTTCTCTAGGACTTTTCTGGGTTTTCTTTCAGTTAACACAAACCTCAAAAAGGGAAGGCAATTTATGCTATTTTCTGATAAACAGAATTTTGTGCCTGGTTGAGCCAACGGCTCCTCCAGACCCACCATGTCAGCAAGTCCCCAGGGTTTTCCTGACCTCTTCCAATGGTTCTGCAATACGCACTGCTTCCCTTTTTCATTTCCCTTTTGCGTTCATCAGCAAAGCCCAGCAGCCGAGGGGTCTCTGAGCCACGGTGCACCCAGAAACCATGCCGGGGACTTGCAGGGAAGGGCACGGGGGGAGAGGAGGGGAAGCAGGCAGGAATCCCTCTACCACCGGCCAACACAGGGGATGTCTCCTGTGGACCAAGGTTCAACACACGATTTGGCTTTATGGCCCAGGTTTTAAGGAATTATCAGGCTCTGATCAGAAGATGTGGAAAGCAATTGCTGAAGAGCTCTCGGAAGCTGCAGACACCTCCAACAGGGATCCCAGACCACATCACAGGAACTGCTGGCTGTGCGAAAGCCACCTGAGACACGGTTCACGTGTGATGGTAGCTCTTCTTCCAGGAAGGGATGGGCTGCAGGAGCCAGAAGTCACCTCTGCTTTCCCCCGTGAGAGATGGGAGTGAGCATGTCTCCGTGAGCAAAGCACAGCCTTGCTCCCTGTCCCAAATCCTTCCCCCCTCACGGCGCCTGCCTCCAGGCTGCCCATGGCCAAGGGGCCAACACAAAACCACTCGTGCTGTCCAAAAAAGGCCAGGCTGGGAACGCGACACATTGTGGTCCAGGATGGCTTGCACATGGTCCCTGCTGCCTTGGCACCTGTGGCAGCATCTTCAATGCACTGCAACACGCTCAGGTCCTTCTGCATCAGCTGCTCTCTGAAAGCAACTTTGAATGGTGGAAACATGATGTCCCCTCTTCCCTCTCCAACTGTCCTGGATGCTGATGCCTCCGGCACATCTTCAACTACCTGCAGGGTCCAGCCATCTGCAGCTCCACTGCCAGGGAGAGTGGAGACCAGCCCAGCTGCAGGCATGCAAAAGCTTCGCCGGACACATCTTCCCCCCAAATTTTGGTTATGCAATGGACAGCATCCGGACTGACCCCGGAGATCATGCCCAGCCACACCGATCGCTTGGGAATGGGACTCCTCCAGGAGGCACAAAAATCCTTGCAGGCAAGATGGATTTTGTGGCTACAACGGGTGGATCAGGTCTTTGCAGGCTCTGGCCTGCACCCTGGCCAAACCACCCTGCCTCAGTGCCCTGGCTGGAAGACAAATGACCTTTCTGCCCAGCCCCACCACTTTCCAGTTGGGTTACTGGGAGAGGTGGCCAGGATCCATCTTTTGCAGGGATGAGTGGTGCCCCCAGCTCACTCTGAGCCCCATCCTCTACCACATGCACGTGAACACCATGTCACCTGCCACTTCAGCCATCGTCCCCTGCTCAGCCAGCACCTGGGACCTTGGCTCACTGGCATACGCAAAGAAACAGCCTCAGTCTCCATGCCACATCCACCAGCTCTGGCGAGCAGCGTGCAGAGGCGAGGTGGCCAGGCCCTGCTCCTCGCCATGGCCAGGCGGCTGTCACCCTGCACAGGGTGACACTGCTTTGATGCGACCTGCTCTCGATAAATCACTGCTGGCTGTTTTGCAGCACCGTATCACCAGGTGCTCACAAAGAAGCCATTCCCCAGGGACCGGAGATGGCAGCGCCGAAAGCCCAGCCCCTAGTCATCTAAAGTCATGTCTCCACCAGAACATGGTCCTCCATGTGGCAGAGGCAGATGCCCAAAGCGCCCTTGGTTGGATGGCTCCCACCAGCGCCTGGACCATCCCCCAAACGACACAGCATCGTGCTCCTGCAGGCGTCTCCCGCTGTGTGGCACAGTGCCGAGTCCCTGCCAAACCCTGTCCAAGCTCCAACCCGGAGAAACACAGGGGGGTTAATTTCTCACCTCTAACCTCCCCGTGCAGCTTCCCCGACCGGCTTTGTGCACAGCGCAGGGCAGGAGCGCCTGGCAGTCGGGAGCTTTGCTTGCAAAGCCACTGCTCTTCCAGGAGCTCTTCTCCAAAACAGTTAAAAAAGACCAGCCCCACTGCACAGGCTTGCTCTGGCCACGCAGCACGTCTTGCATCACCAAGCTGAGCCATGACAGCCCCACAGACGGATGCTTGACTCCAAGTACCTGTGCTGGGTTTGGCTGAACACCTGCCTGCCGATGGGAAGCAGTGAATGAATTCCTTGTTTTGCTTTGCTTGCGTGCGTGGCTTTCTCCTTACTTATTGAACTGCCTTTATCTCAACCCACAAGTTTTTGCACTTTTACTCTTCTGCTTCTCTCCCCCATCCCACCAGGGGGGAGTGAGCGAGCGGCTGGGTGGTGCTCAGTTGCAGGCTGGGGTTAAACCACACCAGTCCTTTTTGGCACCCAATGTGGGG